GGGTGGGGGGGAGGGGCGTTCTCTGGTGTCCTGGGGGTTGGAGACATGCTGAGAGTTGAGGAGAGGGAGGGGGCTGGTGTTGGGGGGGTCAAACCGTGTTAAACACCTGTTAAGCTCGTCTGCAAACTTCAGTGTTTGTTGCACATTTTGATGTCCTGATGACATGGGGTACAGCGCATCCCTGTGGGTGCATCTCGCCTTTCATTCGCTGGTTGTCCTCCCGCAGCAGTGTGTCGCAGTGAGCTTGTTGCAGACATGTTTGATTTATGCCCAATATTGAAGCATGTTCTGCGCTGTTATTCCACACCACAATGCAAGAGGGACAATCAGGAACTAGCTGTGGGTCTAGATCAGTGGTCTCCAACCCTGGTCCTCAAGATCTACTGCCCTACAGATTTTAGATGCATCCCTGCTTCAACACAGCTGAATCAAATGATTGATTACCTTTTCAAGCCATTCATTTAATTAAGCTCTGTTGAAGCAGGGATGCAGGACAGTCTGTAGGACAGTAGATCTTGAGGACCAGGGTTGGAGACCACTGGTCTAGATCCTTAGCATCCCCCTGGTGTTGGCTCTACGTGCTACATCTTCTTCACCGTCTTTAACTTCAGAGGCCCTGATGTCCTCTTCCTGACAATTTTTGTTTGCTTACATTTCAGGACAAAAGACATCTGGAGGAAACTATATGAAATATAACAAATCACAACATTAAAACGTTTTAGCTGTAATAGTGTAGAAAAATGTAAAAGCTGCGGCAGCTTTCAGAAACCAAAATGTCCTGATCAGTAGGTTTCCATAATTTGATCATTTCAACTTTAAGTATTTTATACATGTAATACACTACTGTATGTTATGTATTCTAGAGTAATGGTTTATTACAGCTTATCTTTAAAGATGCCCCCAAATCCAAAGAAAAGAGTCAAAGTAATCGTAGAAAAGGAGAACTGGAGGATGCGGGCATCGATCCCGCTACCTCTCGCATGCTAAGCGAGCGCTCTACCATCTGAGCTAATCCCCCTGCTGAGAAATTACCATCGTCGGGGGTTCGATACACTCAGGGTGAGGGGGAGGGCACCTCTTTGTGTCCTGGGGGTGGAGACATGCAAAGAGTTGAGGAGAGGGAGGTGGCTGGTGTAACGGGGGTCAAACCGTGTTAAAAGTTTAGCTCGTCAGCAAACTTGATGTCCCTGCAGCCCTGCTGGTGGTGTTCCTCTGCCCAAAGCTGGAGGTGTTCTTCAGACCCCTCCACTCATCTCTGACGTTGTTTTGTGCCAGTTGTTCCTCTGTTTTCCTCTTGTAGTCCTTCTCTGCTGCCCTGATCCTCCATTGGAGC